ATCTTAACTTAATAATATATATATATATATACATATATTATTTTAATTTTTTAAAAATATATTATATTTTTATTAAATTGGAACTCATCGTGTCCATTCTCATTTGAGTTGGGTGGGTCCCGCATAGCTTTTGTTTTTCCAAAAAGAAAAAAAATCGTGACGGAGATCTTACGAACGGGGAATGAATCGGACGGTCACAGTTGAGAGAGAGTCAAACGCCTATCTTGAAAGGTCTGTTTGACCACACCCCCCGGCCCTAACATGCTTTTTATAAAAATATAATGGAAACTAATTTTCTAAACTTTGACTGTCCTGTCCTTTCCATAGATGGGGCCCTCCGTTGAAAATCTAGGTGCACCTCTTCGTTTTACCCGTTCTACCCACGAATCTTTATGCATTTTCCTTTTTGCCACTACCCTTCAAAATTGTTAAGCAAATTGTATTTTTTAAAACTGTTTTTTTTATACAAAATAATTTTGGAGTCATAAATATATAGCATTTCTAAAAAAGAAAGTATTTTTAATCAAAATGTAAAAGTAAAAAATAAAGTTTATATATTTGAAAAGTATTTTTAATCTTCATTCCATTGTTGTGTACGTTCATTTTATAATCTTTTTTTTTTCGTTAAGATAATTTCATGGTCAATAAATTATTTATGGGTTAATATATTCTTAAAAAAATAAATTGATTTACTGAACATAATTTAATTCAAATATTACTTTTGTCAATAAATCTTAAGTTCAATACATAATTAAGGCTTATTGTAATTTTTTCTAACTCTTTTGTAACAGTGTAGGCTAAAAATAATATTTTGTCCAAATATTCCAAAGTCGTATACTTAATCTAATGGTTAGGCGTTGGAAATATTTTTCCAAGAATTTAGGCCACAATCTTACTTCATATTTTCCCTAAAATTTTCTCCAATTTGATGAAGCATACTGATTTCAATGTGTCACTTTAGTTGATGTATTTTTGACACTGTAATTTGATTAAAAAAATAGATTTTAATGACTAAATTGAAAACATACTAAAAATTTAGTGATCACTAATGTAGTCTACCCTAAATTATTCTCCTTACAAAGGAGATACAAGTTTTGAAAATTTGAACGAGAAGAAGGGCAAAAATGTCAAACCAAATAAAATAGGAAGCGTGTATTTCTAATTTCGTTGTTGAAAGAAATTAGTAATTGTTAGATTAATGAAAGGGGGAGGGTTTTGGTTGGTTTGACCAATGCTCATGTATGTCTCTTTCTCGCTGTTCATGTTTGTTATAACTATTATTTTCTCTCTTTCTTCCTAATAATAATAATATTCTGCGCATATTTTGCCTACTTTTCTAGCTTTTGCTCAATACCTCACACTCTTGAACACCTTTTCCTCATCAGCTTTCTTTGACCTGCAAGCTTGCTTCTCTTATCAAACAAGGATTTCTGGGTTTTCTTCATTTTTCTCGATTTCTTTCGCCACTCTCAGTTTTGCCTTGCATGACCTGCTTTCGTAGGTTTGATTCTCACCTTCTTTTTGTTCTTCTTTTTTTCCCTGCTGAAAACCATTGAAACTTCGTTAATGATTTCTGGGTTTTTTTTGTTTTGTTTGAAAGTTGTGTTTTGCCTGATTTCATTTCATTTTTTATACTAATCATGCAGATGAGAAAATTCCAACTGTTGATTGGTGGGTGTGCGAATTATGTTTCCCCCCTTAAGTTTTGGATTATTCTGGATCTGGGTTTGAATTTTTTACTCGAGTGCTAGGTGGACGATTTTTCTATTTTTTTGTTAGAAATTTATGTTTGCTGATTTGGGCCAATAAAAATGGTTTGCGGAACAGCGAGTGTTTTCTGTGGCTGTGATTAATGTTGCATTTTATCTGTTTAGGGATCCATGGCTGTGATTTTATCAGTAAATATATAATTGAAATTAGCTTATTCACTTAATTATTTTGGAGTTCGTGGAATTTGATGCCTTTAAAAACTGTGTTTTGAATGTGTCCTTGATTTAAAAGATTTGAACTTTGAACACTTCTGTTTGACAAAGGTTTACTTTAGCCTTGTCATCCTCTGCCGTAGAATCTGTGTAGTCATAGCGTTGAAGATAAATGGGGGGCGGTGTTCGACGTCGAATCGATGTAACTTACGATGCAATCTTCGTTTGGACATGTTTTCTTGCATATGGTTTTGCAATAACCACTCCATGTTTCTTGTTTTAAGAAATGAAGGCCTGTATTTTATCTTAATAAGACATTCAATAGCTTGAATATTGTGATTTAGGCACCGACTATTTTAGATTATTAATGTTATTGGTCGTATGAATTATTCATCCAATATTATAAGACAAATTTGTTACTGCGTTCCCTTTTCTTCTTTCGTGCACCCAGTTTGCAATGGAGTCCGGATTCATATGTCGGTGTTAATTATGTCCTAACCATTTCAAAGCTTCTGTTGATTTGTTTGCTTTCTTCTTTGTCCTCTGGCAGAAACGTAGAAGACCTCGACACTGTTTAGGGGGTTTGTACTTTGTATATAAGATGGGGTGTTTTACAGTTTTGAGAAGCAACAAGAAAAAGTCTAAGCAGTCTGTTTTTGTAAAACGCATTGCACACAAGGAGCATATGCCTACTGTGCTGCCTGAGCCCGAAGTTCAGACCCGGTCACTCCAATCTGCACCCCCAAGTTTTATAACCAGAGTAAAACTGATTCAACCTAATAACAAGGCAACATCCAATAGGGCACGTGCGTTATCTGCTCCATCAAGTCTCGATGCTGCCGAGCAAGATGCCCTTGCATCAGTCGAATTTGAAGAGCAAGAGGAGTTGAAGAGTCGTGGAGGATTAGTGAAGGAACAGAAGTCATCTAGTCCACAGCCACTTCCGCTTCCATCTCCCAATACTACTGTGCTGAAGACAATGGGAAGTTCCAAAACAGGGAATGTCAGTGATCCACTTTTTGCTTCTGGACCATTGCCCCTGCCTCCCTCCGGAACACTACGAAACTTTGGTTACGAAGAAATCGCAGCTGCTTGCCATCATTTCTCTTCTGATCGCTGCACATCTGAAGGTCTATCTTCTGTTATGTATAAGGCTTCCTTCGGAGAGGATACATTGAGTTCGAAGAAGTTTGAAGCTACTGTCACTCGCCTTCATCCATCGACTCAGGTACAAAATTTTTACCGATGAAATTTGTCCGCATAATTTCTCATAATCCTTCAACCCGAAACTATTATGTTGTTCAAGTTCCCTTAATTTTGGAAACATTTGAAGGTATTATATTTTAGAGAGTGTCACTGTTTTATTTCTCTTCATGTAGGGTTTAAGGGACTTCATAAATGAAGTAAATACTCTTGCATCATTGCAACATCCAAATCTCTGTAAATTGCTTGGATACCATGCACGTGATAGTTCAGAACAAAGAATGTTGGTCTATGAGAGGCTGTTTCATGGAAGCTTAGACCGGCTTTTATATGGGAGATCAGATGGACCGCCGCTTGATTGGAATACCCGAATGAAAATTGCTTTATGTGCTGCACAGGGTCTTACTTTCTTGCACGAGGAAGGACCATTTCAGGTATAGTTCAAGTCTATATCGTCATCTATATTTTCGGATGATAAAACTGAATGACACGAGTAATATGCATGTTTGGACTTGAGCTTTGATCATGTGATTGAGATAACAATTCTGTTTGAAATAAGGTCTTTTATTGATCAGTCCTCGATGGATGTCATGAATCATTACCGTTCATGCTATACATTATTATTTTTTATTAATTCTTGCTATACATTAGTTTGTGTCGAATAATAACTTTTGGAGATTTGCTTTTATTTTCCGAGTTTTATTCGAACTTCATACAGGCGTAATTACATAAATGCCCTACCATATGCGCAGGCAATGTACAATGAATTTTCAACTGCCAACATACAGATCGACAAGGATTTCAGTGCAAAGCTTTCGGGATATGGTTGTGTCGGTCATATACCGGAGACAGAAGAGATATCCAGTAATTCAGTTGTAAGTTACTTTTCCATGTGATTGATCTTCAAGTTTTTTTTATCTATAGTTATTCTTTGAAGAAGAAAAATTGTGGTGTTATGAGTTTATCACAACTCTCTACACTACACAAATTTACTTTTTTTGAGTTATTATTGTCTCTATCTCTCTATGCAGGCTGTGGCAAATATCTCTGTGGAGACACTGGAGAGAGGACGGCTAACTCCGAAGAGCAATGTTTGGAGTTTCGGAATCGTTCTACTTGAATTACTCACTGGCCGGAAGAACCTCGACAATCGTCATCCCAAGGAAGAGAGGAACCTAGTTAAGTGGAGCCGGCCATTCCTAGCTGATGATTGCAGACTGTCACTCATCATGGATCCTCAGCTCAAAGGTCGATTTCCTATGAAAGCTGCCCGTACAGTGGCTGACATTGCACAAAGATGTCTCCAGATGGACCCATCAGAAAGACCGACCATGAGAACCATAGTTGAGCATCTCAAAATCATCCAAGACATGAAATATTCATGTCGGTTTCCTCTGCAAGATCCAGCAGCAATAGCCGGAAAACAGATGTCAAGGTCACCGAGTCTTAACGGGATCATCACTCCTGCCCCTAGATCAAGTTTCTCGCCATCACCGCCTTCGGGAGCCAGGATGTCCTTTTCTCCTACAAGACCACCTAATTTGCCATCGACGCTTCCCCCACTTGTATGTTCCTCCACCATGTCATTAGAGGAGCTTGAGAGGCAAGAAAGTCGAAGATCATCATCGGCAACCCTTAGAAGGGCTAGTGTGGAAGGGTGTTGATTGCTTGTAATATAAGCATTTTTTTCATTTTTTTCTTCCTTTTTTAATTCAACGCAACATATAGAAGATAAAATATGTGGTTCTTCTACCGACCTATCCTTCTAGATATCGAAATAGAAGAGGATGCTGTTTTTGTAGATAATGAGTGCAAGCCTGAGCTTAAATATACTGTTATATGTATGTTCATAATCACTAATATCAAAGTCTGCTATACAGTATACTCATGGTATTTTTGTTGTGATACATAAATATTTGGGGATTGAAAACTCCAATTCCAAACGCCTTATTGATTTTATACGAGAAAAGAACCCCAAACCAAAGGGGTTTAAAAAGAACTAAAAACAAAACAAACAGAAACAGCAAGTGCCTTACTGTGGATCCTTGTCGTTCTCACTATCACCATTTTATTTGTCCCTACTCTCGGGTTCTTCGGTGGCAGAAGGGAAACAACTATCGTCTTGTGTTTCACCCTCCCCAGTCCCACTCGTGCTCTGCGGTGGAGCATTTGACACCGTGTTCCCTTGCTGCTCATTTAGTAAGCTTGTAAGACCATTCTCCTTCAGGTAGGTCTCCAATGGAAGGGCTGCCACTTGAACAAGACTCGTCATGTTCAGACGGTTGGGACCTAATTGAGAATATTCCTCACGGTCAGGATCACAGTTCAAGTCTATCTGTCCCTTGTTAGCTTCAACCAACTTGGTGGTGATCTGACTCTTGGATTCTGACTCATTAACCGACCTTGCTTCATTCTCGGAAGGATTCGGTTGTGATGATGATAAATGTTTTGAGCTGCTGTCTACTTCGGCTTCTTCATGGGTACCCCATGCTTGCTGGTTCCTCTGAGCAATCATCTCTGCTTCACGCTCCGACTGACGCTTCTTCTTGCGCATAGTGAGGGTTTTAAAACGACGTTTAACCGTCATGCACACAACGCATGTGCATGTTGGCTTGTGTTTTCCCTTCCCGCTCGGTGGCTGGATGCATACAATGCAAGAGCAACCGGGACGGTGCCTAGGGTGTTTAGTTGTAGTCGCCCCTGACATTGTGCCTGAATTATCTACATTGTCTCCAAAGATTGCAGCATTGGCCAAAGCATCCAAACCAGATGATGATTCATTCTCGGGGGTTGGCCTATGGAATGCTGCTATTCTCCTTTTTTTGAAATCTATGCATAAAATATGGCTTAATAGCTACATTTGTAGATAGTATCTAGAAAGCAAGAAGCTGACTAAATATGCAATCAAATCAAGAAAAAAAATCACAGATAATATATAGCCAGCAACTGTTTGTATGCGGAATACGCATTATAAAAGATAATTGGATCAAGGAATATGCAACGACACATGGCCAACCTACACATGTATAAACTCTTAATAGTGAGAGATAATTTTGAGGGATTAGAATGGCTCCTTTGTTCTCTAGAAGAGGATATATACCGAGAATGTACCTCGGTTCAATCTAAGAAGATTTTCTAGCTCCCTTGGGGTGAGTTCATTTGGTGCAGAACATGATGACCTGAAAAAAAATGCAGAGGAAATGAAAAAATTCCTTCAGAACTCATTAAAGAAAAAAATAGGAATGCACGAGAAATATGATTCTGAAAATGATGACCTGCTTTGGTCCCAGTTATTGTCTATACACGTCCATTTGGGTGGAAGAAGAAGATCAACAGGCAACCTTCTCCATTTAGAACAACTATCACACTGAGCCCATTGCTCTTGTCCCCTAAAGATCAAAATTAGTAATTCAAGACAAGATAATTAACCCTATTACCATAAACTTAAGAAACAGATAGATCCATTCAAGCACAGTAACTTGAGACAAAATACTTGTAGACAAAACAAGATGTTTTACTGAAAGAAATAGAGTCGATCTTTCCAAAATGAGCCTTCGGTATAACTTATGAAAGATCATTATGCATGTGAATGGAGATTTTTGAAATTTGGACGAGTTATTTTTCAGATTGTAGATTACTAAATATTCTATAGGAACTAAACAGAGACATAAAAGAACCGAAATGCAGAGGAAAGCACCATTATAAGTTAGGACTTGACGACTTGCTCGCGAAAAAGTATTTAATTACCTATTATTCCTAATATTTCCTCCTGCACATGCGTTCTGTTATTAAATTCTTATTGCGTTAACCTTCACACGAGTCTAAAAATAAATGCATATGCTCACCCGGTTGAAAGGACAGCAAAGATACTCCTCTTGCCAAAAACTGGAGGTTCCTGTGTGAGAAAATATGCATAAAATGTTACATTGCAAACATATAGCATAAAATGTTTTAATTAGAGCATAATGGATCCTAGTTTTCTTGTATCTAGTAATACAAAAAGATTTTCACTGGTTTCTTCCATCTATTAATATGAAAAAATTTCACTGGTCAAATAGATTGGCAATTAATCATCTGAGACCCAAAATTAAATTGATAGGATGAGCCAAGTGCACCAGAACAGCCAAACATACAAGCATTGTTATACTCAAATATTCCAGGAAATGTACTCACATCATATTCTTCAAAATCATGATCCTCAATCGTGACAAAGCTTGGCTTGATACTTGGTGGTGGGCGGAGCAAATCCTGTGTTTCTTCCCAAGTAAGTTTCAGCTCCAAAGCATCCTGACTGTCAATCAACAATCTCTTGCTTTTGGACCCAATATTCCGTGTTCTTTTTCTCTCTGGAGTTAACATCGACGGTAGTAATAATCCCTCCCTTATCATGTCCTCATGCTTCCCAGATTTATTCCAGCTAATATCATCAACAGTTGAACTCAAATGTTTTGACAGTGCATTTAAGTGTGGATCGGTGCTTCCCTTTAGTGACTGAAGAAGGCCAGGGTAACCACTAATTATAGGCAGATTCTCAAAAACACCCGAAAAGTAACTTTCACTTGAAAGAGTGCCATTAGTAATGGCAGATGGTACGGTTTCCTGTTTATTTGATCATATCAATAAGTGATCAAGTTTGCTAACATGGAAATTGATTGTCACTTTACCTGCACTGCAGCATTGTTTGTTGCTTTACGAAACCCCATAACAAGGTTCCCTTCTGGTTCCATGCGGCTAAATGTTACTGTTCAGACAGCCATATGCAGTGTTAGTCAATGGAAGCTAACAACAAAATATTGAGTTGCTCCTTAATCAGGTTCAGGATAGTACCAGTATCTCCAGCCTGCAACTGCATGGACTTCATGCAAGGAGTCACACCCTCCAAAACATACATCCTGCTGTTGTTATTAGGCCAGAATCTGAACTGAAACACCCATTCTTTTCCCTTTACATCTTGAATTCTTAGGGGAAGGCCCTCTGGTTGAGATATGGGGGGAAAATAAGCCTGCAATACATACTCTTTTTAACTGATATGCAACTTCTCAACAGAGTAAATAAAATATTAGTTGCAAGGGTAGGATGATGGAATAGGAACTAACTTCAGCACATGCTTTTGGCAGAACCAAACGACCAATCCGTCCAGCATCACTTGCACTCAGAACCTTTTCAAACAGTGGAACAATGGTGGAATTTGAACTGGAAATTACACAGGTTAAGGATTTTACTGCCCTAATTAATAGATAGACAAAATTTTTAGTTTGGCACAGGGATTCAAATTGCGGTTGCGCTCGCATTTTTGGTTGCGTCGTGTTTTTCACAATTGCAGAAATAGCGGTCACTATTATGGTGATTGCGGGTATCACGGTCATACATTAATGGTCATGGACGGCACCGCTACCGCTATACCGCGGTCGGCTAGGCAGTTAATGCATGGTTGTGCATGTAAAAATAAATTAAACCAATAATTGAACAGTGGTGGATACTCTCCAGAAATTTTTTGTAATTCTTGGTCAGTAATCCTCGGCCAATAACGAGGAAGCAACTGATTTCGTCCCCGTCCCTCTACTGGAGGCCGAGCAACACGTATCTGGGGTACCATGCTCGCATTCACCTCCAAACCTGCTGCAAGCACTGGTTTTGGTGGCTTGGGTAGAAGATGGAGAGATTTTGATGCCTGCTGCAAGACTGAAGACATCTTGCCTTTTTCATCTACAACGGAACAAGGAAAGACATTTTGGTTCCCTAATGAACTGCCCAACGAAATACTTAAGTTTGTTTGTGGCAATGACTCAGAAGTATTAGCTTTAGAAGTGGTGGGTTTCAAAGCTTGAACTGATCCATTCAATGTTTGATTAGTATTTGACAAGCATGTGCTTCCAATGTCTACTGCAGAAGAAAAAACTTCCTCCTGTTTCATTTGCCCCAAGGGCTTACTTGGGTCATCATTGTGAAACTGAAGCAATTGTCTCAGTCCAATGCTTTCTGCATTGTTGTCCAACTGTATAAGCCTTAGGTTTTCATTGCCAACGCCACTTAATTGGTTGTCTGCTGTGATTGAGTGCAATTGACCAGTATCACCTTTCACTATACCAAATCCATTAGGCTTTTCATCTTCAATCATCTGTATGAAAATGTTTTAAAAGCATCATAAATATCTGAGCTTTTACATGTAAAAATTTAAACATCAGCTAGTAGGAAATCCTAAGCCACTTAATTGGTTGTATAAAATATGAATATATAAAAGAAAGTACCAATGGTATGAACAACAGAAACAAACTAAATTATAAAACTAATATAACAAAGATGTAAATCTGAAAAGGAAAATATCTTAACAGATAGCATTCATTTTTCTTCTCATATCACTCACTCCCTAATGATTATCCTCAGTTATCCTCACCAGAGTATGAAAATCCTAAGCCATTGTACATGCAAGGCAAGCATATTACTGATTTGCGGTTGCGGTGGCCATTGCGGTTGCGGGTACGGATGTTGCAGACGTTACGACATGATTTATTTCCTAAAAGTAATGACGTTTTTATGTTGCGGTGACCTTTAAAAATGTTACGATGCGGCCATTATACTTTGTTGTGGCCGCAATTTAATACTATGGACTGGCCCAAGGCTAGTTAGATTTAGAATCATTAAATGCCCAGGCTGTCCAGTTAGAATGTCTTTTGCTTTTAAGTTTAACAATAAAACTAATATAACAATTTGCAATAGATATGGAGCCAGCTTTATTTAAAAAGTAAAAAATAAGGGAAAGTGAAAATTTTCTACAATAAAGAAGAGGTTGAATCACAATGTAGGGATAACAACCAAATTAATTTAAGACTGACAAAATGAGACTGTTTAGAGGCACACTTATACCCTGATCAAAAGGTACGTGTCTAGTTATCATAGACCCTACATCATCAGCTTCATTGTTTACTTGGCATGAGACGATAGTATGAAAGTCATAATTTGAACTTATTTTGAAAATAGTATAAGGTTAAATAAGTTAATCTTACAGGGCTTAATCCTGAGTTTTTAGCACAACTTTTACAGATGATGCCCCCACTATCAAGAAGCTCAAGCAAGCACGTGGAAGCAATACATCCACAGTGTAGAAGCTGCCATTTCCAAAAGCATTGAGATTATATGCAACACTATTACGACTTGATGGAACCAAAGAGAAAGTATTGAAAATGACAACACAAGAAGCTAAATGCTTGGGGTCACACACCTTGCCACATGAAGTGCATTCCCTCCACCCTGAATCCTTTGAGTGAAATATGTCACAGAATACCGATTGTTCATATGCAGACCTACATAAGTAATAAAAGAATTGTCTTTGAACAACTGGAAATCTTCAATAGGAATTGGTATTAGTTGCGCAAAATTCCTGCTTACTTGAATTCTTCCCTATCTGTGTATCTTTTTTATGAAATTAAAAATATAATCAAGTTTCAGGCAAAGTTATAAGAGGAAGGATATAAAAATTCAGTCGTTTCAATAACTGTTCCATTACCCTTTAACTTATATAAGAGTAATTCAAGGAAATTATATTCCAATTCACTAAACAAAAATTATTAAAAACCTCGCCAATCGGTTCAAAAAAAGTTAAACACTCACAAACAACAAAACATAAACAAAATAAAGTTCCAATTGTTCCGGTCTTAGATTCATCAACGAAGATTTTAGGTTGAGTGGCTATTGAATAGGAAAAAGTTAGCTTAGCTAATGATTAAGCTTACAAAAGAAGGCTTAAGTGATCTTAATTTCATAATTACCCGCACTTATCGCAGAGATTAGCAAAATCACCAGATCGCAAAGCCCAGCCTTTTCTCCACTCAATCGACGTGGAAGCGCCGCACAGTCCATTCATGCAACTCTTTAACGCCATGCTCCAAATTTAATCCCTACAATTAAAAAAAAACATTGAAAAAATCAAATCGGAAACAGCGAAAATCTCCCCTGCCAGCTAAAAAATAAAAACATCAACAAATTCAAAATCGGTCAAACGGTCAAACCAGATGAGTAATCAATTTAAAAAAGAGTAAAAAACCCAAATAAATTTATACAAAAAAACCTTCGGAAGAAAATAACCGGAGCTTCCGCGTCGCCGGCGTTGAATATCGTTGCGAAAAAGGAACAGCGGCGAAATTTTGTGATACTATTAGCGGACTATTGAAGACCTCGAGCTGACAAATTTTGAAAAGAAACTATCGAAGAGAATCGAGAAAAGGAGAGAGATGAAACGATGAGTTCCGATGAGGGATGAGTTGAATCGGCGATGTGAGAGGCAGCGAACAACTCATGTGCATGCAAAGCAAACAAAAACAGGGGGGGAGAGGGAGAGAGAGAGAGAGAGAGAGAGAGTCTGGTATTTAGCAAAAATTAAAAATGCATGCACGATTATACTTCAAGACTCGGCGAACTCCGTCCCCACCTATTTTTCTATAGGGTCAACTACATTATCTATTTTTACAATTATGTCTTATTCATTTTTTTCTTTAAAATAAAGTCTAATATTACATCTTATTTTTATCATCGACAGTTAAAAGATAAACGTAATAATTTTTTATTTTTAAATAATAATATTATATTATCTTATAATAATACATTAATAATTTTAATTATTTTTAACAATGAGTGATCAAACATAATGTTAAATGCAATGTTATCAAAATTGGATTGAACTGGTTGGTTCGACCAGGAACCGATTGCTTGTCTGATTCGGTTAACTTCTAAAACCAATTTTGCAATGAACCATTAAAGAACCGGTAAAACCGGTTGGGAACCGGAAAAATCGGTATGAACCGGCTAGGAACCGGCAAAACCGGTATGAACCGCCGGTTCTGTTTTTTTATAAAAAAATTAAACCAAACGACATTGTTTGTTATGATTTTTTTCTACTCCAAATTTATTTTCTGATTTTAGTTATATAATTATATTTATTATTTAATATATTTTATATTTTTACTTTTATTTGTTAAGTATTGTTTAGAAATTTAAATTTAGCTTTATATTTATTTATCATATTGTTAGGTGATGAAGATCTTGATGTTGTGGACTTTCAAGTTCAAAGTGATGTTATTGAGTTTCAATTTTAAAGTGGTGATGGCAGTGGTAGTTCAACACTTCAACTAATGAAGAAGTTTTTCCTAATATTTTGGAATTTGATGGAATTAATTTTAATGAATATTATGATGATTGATACTTGTATTAATTATATAATTTTTTTTATTTAGTTGTTGATGAATTTCATTAGGTATTGACCTTAAATATTATGTTGTAGTTGATTTGAATCATTTTGTTTCACTTGATATTATGGTATTTAATTTATATATGTTATGACTTGTGATATTTTTATATATTTTAATATTATAAACTTAAAAAGAGTGTTATATATATTAATATTGTTTTGAATATTATGTAAAATTTTAAAAAATATTATTTTATATAAACCGGTTCAACCCAATTGAACCACAATTAAACCAGTGAACTAATGAACCAGTATATTCACTAGTTTAAGGTCCGATCCAATTTTAGAAACATTGGTTAAATGTGATTTTGGAAAAAAATAATGAGATAATAAAAATGAAACCATGAGAATAAGTGATTGACTAAATATATAGTTTAAACTTTTTAACTCTATTTTTCTTCTTCCTACTAAATTTGTGCCTCATTAACTTTTTAAAAATTAAAAATTTTTAAAATTTAAACATAAATATTTTAAATAATTAAATTTTATAAAATGTATATTTTAAAACTATTTGATTGAGATTTAAAAAATATTTTTTATATTTTTAAAAAATAATCAAAAATCAAAAAATAAAAAAAAATGTCAATAAGAGACAGTTTAAATAAAAACAAGGTAATATTTATTTATTTTTATAATACTATTCATTTTTTCGTATTAAATTAATATCTATACTCGATGCATGCTTGTTGTTGATATAATCTCCAAAGGATAACCATTTGATTAGATGCGAGACCCGTTAAAGCCGCCGAAAGTTTATCACGGTATTAGCTAGCGCGTCATAAAACTTTGATATCTAATAAAATTAGAATTAGAAATTAAGATAAATTATGCGTTTAGAATCTAAACTAATAATAGTTTGGGCCTAAACCTTTGGTTTTAAAAAAAATTATATTTAGCGTTTATTTTTGTTTTATTTTAATACCTTATAATTAAAAATTTAATATTTAAACTATCAGTTTCAATTCGTTCTAATACTTAAATTTAATTTTTTCAAAACTTAACGTTAAGTTTTTAACGATGATACTAAAATAAAATAAAAAAATTAAACTAAACGTTATATATAATTTTAAAAAAATTAAAAATTAAAATAAATTAAAATTTATAATTTAAATACTAAATATACAATAGACATTATGATGCGTATGAAAAATAAGGTTTGTGGATATCACCGTCCAGCTTAGTTGGTAGAGCACAAGACTCTTAATTTTGTGGTCGTGAGATCGTGTCCTACGGTAAGCAAATCATAATTCTGACTGTCGGAAGTCTTTCACGAGAGCTATTCTCAACCTAGTGTTGAAGGTAATATACTACTCTACCACCCCTCATCCCATTACATATGAGAATAAGATTAGTTAATTTACCGTAAAGTGCGCCACTAAGTGCTTTTTCTATCCTAAGGTATATTTTCGCATTCCGTATGTATCATATACGAATTTCCTTAATCACCCTCCATTGTCCCTCTTTATTGCGAGTAACCACGGGGTTGGATGATTTTGTTTGTGGAAATTGGTCTATTGACAGTCCACGCCGTCCAACGGAACATTTCTTGCACACGTGTCAACTATCGATGATGGCTATAGTTGAGTTTTCCTTTTCGGTTTTTATTTATGACGTGATAGTAATGATGGCTGATGTTCGGTGACCTGGATGCCAGGTTACATACCTACCCCGCTGAAAGGGAAACTTCAACCCACGCGCTAGTGAAATTAAAAAAGGTTGCGCTGGTGAGTGAAACTGCCGCGTTTGGATGCGCGTTTTGTGGGAATGAAACTGGAAAACCAAGTTTGGGTCTTGTCCTAAAACAAGGGCTAGAGTTAAAGCAAGAGGTAAAAGAAAGGTGGGGTGTAATTAATAGGGTTAATGATAATTGATTAGCAAGTAATGGCTGCCACGATTATCTTTCTTAAATCAAGCATGTTATTGCTTATCTTTATAAATATTATAAGTCTTTCTTTTAAATAACGATTGTTAAATAATAATAGTAATGTTATGTTAATTGTTTATTATACAGCTGTGATAAATAATTTATTAAACGAAGAGTTTGTTTGTTTAAACTAAAATAATTAAATTTTAATCTAAAAGGAAAACACTACAAGAGAAAAAGTAAAAAAAATATTTTAATAATAATACCAGTTATCAATTTAAAAAAATCCAATAGTTTAATTAGATTGATATCTAATTAAACTATAATAACAACTCAATTAAAAATTAATTATATATTTAATAAAAACATATATTTATTTAATTAGTATGGTCCGGTCAATGAATATAATAACACGCGTCACAGAAGGTCAAAGGTTGTGAGAAATTAAATATAAAATATCGTAGGTGATGTGAATAACAAGATAGTATTAAATTGAAGACTAAAACTAAAAGAACACGAGTTCCTTCCCTTCTTAATTTCTTTCTAGCGAAGGGAAAGCCCAACGTCATGCCTTGATATCTATTGCTCGTACAAATACTTTTACTTACTGCACATTACCTGTTTAAGAGACAAGATTAAAAATGTGGTTTTAAAGACTTATCTCATTTACTCGTTTATATATAGTATCGTAATGCAAACTAATTTACAGTGAATAGACTGCCATGACATAATAAAAAATATAAAAAGAATGAAGAACATAAAATCTCATGAATCAATTGAATCATAAATCTCGAAGAAACGATAATGTCATATTGGTGGACGGAGGTTTTGTCCCATTGCTTGTAAAATTTAGTTGGCCGGTTGTATAACACTTGTAGGTTAGGTCCGATGTTTGGGCATAATTATGGAACTGGATTAAGCCCAAGCATGAGTAACAGAAAGAAAGAAGTTTGTTTTGTACCCAAAACATCACCTACGAAAAGCCCAATCCTTTTAAGACTTCCTCTTATCTTAAACCAAAACAAACCAAGGGAATGTCGTCCATTTGCTTGTAGATTTTCCCGAACGGTCATGGCGGGAACTGCAACAGTCAGTGTCTCATTACCCACTTCCACTTCAATCTTCTCCTCTTTATCTTCACTTAGATTTTCTTCAAAGCCATTGCCTCTTCCTATGCGTTTTTCTCCAAAACCGCCTTCCCCTCCAAGATTTCTCGGTACTTTTGTTTTCCCCATTTTCTGTCTAAATTCAGCCTTTCTCAAAGCACCCATTTTCTAACGCTGCATTTTGATTTGGTTGCAGGGATTTACGCTTTGTCTAGTAACGATATCAAAGTTGGGACTAACCTTGAAGTTGATGGAGCTCCTTTGCGAATTTTAGGTTTTTTTTCTTTTTAATATCTGTGATTTCCATTTAATATACTGTTTTGGTTGGCTTGGTTACCAGAAGTTTAACATGTATGGAAGTTTTAATTTTTATTTGTCGTGTCGGTGTTTGTGATGTGAAATTTTTGGCTCTTTGTAGAGTTTCTCCATGTTAAACCTGGAAAAGGGGCTGCATTTGTGAGGACCAAAATGCGCAATTACATAACAGGAAACACTGTTGAGAAGACTTTCCGAGCCGGTAGTACGGTAAAATCGATGTATCATTTGGCTCTCCATGGTGCTCAAACGCCTTAAACTCTGCACTTTATAGCATTTAGAGGATGAAAGTAGATAACTGTGTTCCTTGCAGAACAAGTTAGTTCAGTTTCGAACACAATGTTCTTGTTCTGTGTTGAGTAAAAAGCAAGGATCTGTTGGACTGGGAAGGGTCATTGTGTTTTGGTAGCATATTGTTTTTTTTTCCGATTAAAATTCAAAGTCTTTTAGCAATGCTTGCATGCCCTATAGAGGTTTTATCGGTTCTTTTGTCGTGCCTTCATATGAAAGCTTGGCTTATACAGATTGAGGAGGTAAATGTTTTCAAGGAAACCAAGCAGTTCACTTACAAGGATGGTTCCCAATTTGTCTTCATGGACCTGGTATTTTTCGATATATTTGTATACTTGTTAGATGCTATTGATAAATGAATTCCGTAGTTTATACCCTTGTTAGCCGTCTACTGAAAATTTGAGCAAGTGCCATATACTATAATTCTTCTGTGTTATCAGTGGTTAGCTTCCTCTTTTTGGCACTATCCCATTTTCTCTATTATCTTCAAAAATTGTGTCCAATCGAATTGTTTGTTGTATTTCTTCCCATGTTGGTCTTATAATGATATTTTAACTTATGAAAGAACACATTTGAAGAAACCCGTCTCGATGAGGTAGATGTAGGGGACAAGACAAAGTGGTTGAAAGAGGGAATGGACTGCATTTTGCTCTTCCGGAACGGAAAGGTAAACTTTATAATTTATATCTTTTCATTTCTTTTTTCTGATATTGAAGTTTTTGATATATGCTCTTATTTTAATTTCACATTCAAGAGGAAGAGGCGCCTACAAAGACAGAAACTTCCGTTTGCTAGATATTAAACATGGTCTTTGTAACACCCCAAGCCGTATCCGATCCGGATCCGAGTCCGAGGTGTCACATTGACTTTTCAAAACTTTCTTTTTTACAAATCCGCAAAATCTTAAATTCATCATTTAAGAAAATGGGTACTTTGCATTAATAATTACAATCGAATTGTTTTACAAAACTGATCACAGCATATTCAATTCAAATATTGTAATTGCATGCCAACTAAATTATATATAACAAAATACATATACTCAATATATTTCTGATATGATCTTTGTAAGGGAAATGCTAACCTGTCTTGCTCCTTTTTATTTCTCTTCTCGCTTTCCAAACCTACTTGTGCAACATTCACACGCTAAGTCGATGACTTAGTGAGACATGTATATAAATAATGTAAACTATTACTCATTAATCAATGCCTGTACATATCATATTACACAACACCATGCTTGTATACATACATAAATCATCATTAACGTGCCTATCATTACTTATTTTATTATCACTAATTCCTTTCATAATCATATGAGCATATACATAAACCATATAATATAAACTCTAAATTACAACAATGTATGGACAATTATTACGATCATATCATATACCAGCACATATCATCTCATATACACATATGCACCTATTATTATTAACATGAACTTATCCTCTATGCATATCATATAGTACAGATATCATTTCACAAAGAAATACATATTTTATCATAGCAAGTGCTTTATTATCTTTAAAGCCCATGTATACTTTTGAGAACTGAAGGTATGTGAATACATAGAGATTGTGCACACATGCTCGTATAAATCTCACTAGGGGCGCGTGGAATTTGTCCCGTAGAACCACTATGTCCCGAAGGACCACATATAACACATATGTCCTGTAGGACCACGTAGAACACATATGTCCCGTAGGACCACATAGAACCCTCGATTCTTGGCATGCCAATTATACCTATAGCTCTCATAACACATGACATGGACATTATTATTTATGTTATCACACTTTCACATATTCATATCATATACACATATAAGCTAATGGCTTGTTATCACATGTATCATGTAGTACTCACTTGGAGTCTCATAACTTCTTATCACATATCTCATATCTCCTATCACATGTCACATTGCTTATATATTGTTCTCATATCGTCTTATTTCATCAGATAGCTTATTATTGTGTAACTCATGTTGTTTTCATATGATTTCACATTCACATATCACATTTATCTTTTCTCATATAATCACTTATACAGTATCACATAGGTTACACTTGTTTATTTTATGTTCACATATATCATATAATTTCTTTAACTCGTAGCTTAAATTACATGTTCATATCATTCCTTATAACTATATCATATAACTTGTTTCATATTCTCATTTAATCATATAGAGATCATTCATATTAGTTCACATGACTTATTACGCTACATATATTCACACAAATCATGTAACACATGTATCACCTAACTCATATAATTCATATCTTTTCTTTTATTTTATATTTTATCCATTTATATTCATATACTTCACATACAAAGCATATTCACTCAAACATGTATTCACCCAGATCACATATAGAAATACTCTTATCTCTAAACATATGCATGAACTGAAACACATCTAAGCATTATATCTCTATATGCTTATATTCAGATACTCATGTAATCTAAAATCGGGATTAGACTTATCACAAGTCTTAATTCCATAACATAACTTATACTTACTATCATGTACTCACCTGGTCACAACGAACACTACCAAGCTCTTGTTCTTTCTTTCTTATCTTACTCTGCCGACCTATCTGAACTTTGCTTTCGATCGATGTCTACACGAATACCAACTTTAATGAATATCGATATTCGAATTACCAAGCTAACTGGAAATTCACTTATGTTCAATCACTACACAAACAATCTAGAATCTATATAAATCTCATCTCAATTATATCGAATCATAATAACTTGATATGCAAGAACCTTATTTTTTTATTTCATAATTGGGGGTATAGATACACTCCTCAGTGTATCGATACACAAATTGCATTCGATGTTTGAGGGTATCGATACACTCCTTAGTGTACCGATACACAAATGGCATTCGATGTTCTGAGTGTATCGATACACTCCTCAGTGTACCGATACACATTCATACAATTACGCCTGTTCACCTCATAAAGTATCGGTACCTCTCCAAAGGGTACCGATACACTAGACCCAGAATGACCATTTTCAACCCAAAAATTTAACACTTTTACCCCAAATTTTACTATTTAAGTCCTTCTTATGCCTTAAAAACTTATCCATACATAATTAAACATTCTTATAACCCTATAGCACTTCACCATTTCTCATAACTAACCATAATTTTTTAATAAAAGAATTTCATCAAATTTTCCATATGTTCTAAATTCATTTCTATCACCTCCAACTTCTTAATTATACCCTTGACAAGTCAAATTCATCAATAAAACTTCAAAAACCTTATTATATCAAGAATTCATTTCTCAACCCTTAATCAAATTTCCTTTCTAATTCTCTTTTTCTTAATGTTTTAAACTTATATAAGCTTTCCTTAGGCTTATATAACACTCAAAGAATAAAACTCAACTCAAATATTCAAGAATTAACCATCAAAAATAAAACTCACCTTTGAGGCTTGAGCATGAACACACGGGAAGAAGAAAGAAAGAAGAAAAAGAAGAGTTCTAGATAACTCTCCTGTTATCTCCCTAAATAAAGGAGATAAAAATATCCTTTAAGCTAAATTACTATCTTACCCTTTCAATCCTTCCATAATTACCATTTAATCCAATACCAAAATATTTCACTTAAGTCCCTGAACTTTTAACTTATTTCAAAATTGAGCACAAAATTTCTAAACTTTACATTTTAGTCACTAACTCTGATTTTGGGATGTTACAATCTTCCCTCCTTTTAAGAAAATTTGTCCTCGAATTTTCACTGTGCATATTGATAAGAACATATCATATAATGTTCTCATGTTGTTTTCTCTACTTTATCCCTTCGTACTTGCAATTAATGATTTGCCTTTAATTTTTAAAGAACCCAATCAATTTCTATCTTTTCTCTTCTTCATTTGTACCCTCACTTTTGGAATCGTTGAAAATCCATATCATGTCACTTATCATATAAACAGTAACATTCATTCTTATCAGTCAAGATCATAAATCAATTGATTTCCTTCATCATATATGACTAAACATATACTTTATGGAATCATACAATCTTTTCACATAACCTTGCACATTTTTCTTACTTTTATATCGAACTTATAACCTTCACTTCCATATAACCTTCGTCATACTTAATCCTTTAATTCACTTTTTCATTTAATTTTCCTTATCCCTTTACTCTTCCATAATTCAAGATCTACTTGTAACATATATCATATCTATTCCTTCATACTTATATACTCTTTTCATATTGCTTATACTTATCCTTGATCACCAATCTTTATCGTATTGTATAACTCTGATAGTTATCATTACTTGCATAAACCTTATTATTTGAAAAATCCTTATTTTCTTCACTCTCCAAATCTTCTTACCATATACATAACCTTGTAGTCAGCACCAGTTCTTCCAATCTAAAACATAAATTTTCCTCAAACCATTCTTATATATTATTTATAGTCAGAATTAATCCATCACTTACTCATACATCTACATTTTCCTTAATTCAACTCAACATTCCAACTTCCTTTGTCTTACAAACTGATCACTGATGTACCCATTCTTAAACTTTTCCGAACAATACCTACATCATTTTCATTCAAATTAGCTTCACAATATTTCACTCTATTTATCAAACTGTACTCTTTGGCATACACCTTATGATTTCGGCTTCATATATCTGATAAACTTATCACAGAGATACTAATTATCGAACTTTTCTGAACTAATAACTACATCACTGAATCTTCTGTCATTCTCATGATAATATCGGTTCACTATTCTTCCAATCATCCGCATAGTAACTAAACTAATTCATCTAACTTCTCCACTTTGGAACAGTGGAGATCATCTAACACTATTCAAATACGTTTCAATCTTAAAAAAAACAGTCCTTTACTTTTACAAAGGCGCCCCCTAAGGTGTCTGCTCTTCATCCTGCCTGGTCAAGGTAGGTGAATTGCTACCATAATCAGAGATATCACCTCTCACTTCACTTCAAAACGGTTACAATCAGATTTCTACTATATCATATTATTCTTATTCTATTAGCAAGACAATATACTCCTTATACTTATCAGATCAGAAATTATTCACTTAGTGTTGGCATGTACACATTTTAAAATTCATTTACCTTCGGTTTAAGCCTAGAATCGGCTAAACCTTAGCTCTGATACCATTAAATGTAACACCCCCGACCCGTATCCGATCCGGATCCGAGTCTGAGGTGTTACATTGACTTTTCAAAACTTTCTTCTTTACAAATCCGCAAAATCTTAACATCATCATTTAAGAAAATTGGTACTTTGCATTAATAATTACAATCGAATTGTTTTACAAAACTGATCAAAGCATATTCAATTCAAATCTTGTAACTACATGCCAACTAAATTCTATATAACAAAATACATATACTCAATATATTTCTGATCTGATCTTTGTAAGGGAAATGCTAACATGTCTTGCTCCTTTTTACTTCTCTTCTGGCTTTCTAAACCTACGTGTGCAACATTCACACGCTAAGTCGATGACTTAGTGAGACATGTATATAAATAATGTACACTATTACTCATTAATCAATGTCTGTACATATCATATTACACAACACCATGCTTGTATACATATATAAATCATCATTAACGTGCTTATCATTACTTATTTTATTATCACTAATTCCTTTCATAATCATATGAGCATATACATAAACCATATAATGTAAACTCTAAATTACAACAATGTATGAACAATTATTACGATCATATCATATATCAACACATATCATCTCATATACACATATGCACCTATTATTATTAAGATGAACTTATCCTCTATACATATCATATAGTACATATACCATTTCACAAAGAAACACATATTTTATCATAGCAAGTGCTTTATTATCTTTAAAGCCCATGAATACTTTTGAGAACTGAAGGTATGTGAGTACATAGAGGTTGTGCACACATGCTGTCACCACAGCTCGTATAAATCCCACTAGGGGCGCGTATAATTTGTCCCGTAGGACCACTATGTCCCGAAGGACCACATATAACACTTATGTCCCGTAGGATCACATAGAACACATATGTCCCGTAGGACCACATATAACTATCGACTCTTGGCATGCCAACTATACTTATAGCTCTCATAACACATGACATGGGAATTATTATTTATGTTATCACACTTTCACATATTCATATCATATACACATATAAACTCATGGCTTCTTATCACATGTATCATGTAGTACTCACTTGGAGTCTCATAACTTCTTATCTCCTATCTCCTATCTCCTATCTCCTATCATATGTCACATTGCTTATATATTGTTCTCATATCGTCTCATTTCATCAGATAGCTTATTATTGTGTAACTCATGTTGTTTTCATATGATTTCGCATTCACATATCACATTTATATTTACTCATATAATCACTTATACAGTATCACATATGTTACACTTGTTTATTTTATGTTCATATATATCATATAATTTCTTTAACTCGTAGCTTAAATTACATGTTCATATCATTCCTTATAACTATATCATATAACTTGTTTCATATTCTCATTTAATCATATAAAGATCGTTCATATTAGTTCACATGACTTATTACACTACATATATTCACACAAATCATGTAACACGTGTATCACCTAACACATATAATTCATATATTTTATTTTATTTTATATTTTATTTTATCCATTTATATTCATATACTTCACTTACAAAGCATATTCACTCAAACATGTATTCACCCAGATCACATATAGAAATACACTTATCTCTAAACATATGCATGAACTCAAACACATCTAAGAATCATATCTCTATATGCTTATATTCACATACTCATGTAACCTAAAATCGGGATTATACTTATCACAAGTCTTAATTCCATAACATAACTTATATTTACTATCATATACTCACCTGGTCACAACGAACACTACCAAGCTCTTGTTCTTTCTTGCTTATCTTACTCTGCCGACCTATCTGAACTTTGCTTTCGATCGATGTCTACATGAATACCAACTTTAATGAATATCGATATTCGAATTACCAAGCTAACTAGAAATTCACTTATGTTCAATCACTACACAAACAATCTAGAATCTATATAAATCTCATCTCAATTATATCGAATCATAATAACTTGATATGCAAGAATCCTATTTTTTATTTATTTCATAATTGGGGTATCGATACACAAATTACATTCGATGTTTGAGGGTATCAATACACTCCTCAATATACCGATACACAAATGACATTCAATGTTCTGAGTGTATCGATACACTCTTCAATGTACCGATACACTCCTCAATGTACCGATACACTCCTCAATGTACCGATACACATTCTTACAATTACGCCTGTTCACCTCACAAGGTATCAGTACCTCTCCAAAGGGTACCGATACACTAGATCCAGAATGACCATTTTAAACTCAAAAATTTAACACTTTTACCCCAAATTTTACTGGTTAAGCCCTTCTTATGCCTTAAAAACTTATCCATACACAATTAAACCTTCTTATAACCCTATAACACTTCACCATTTCTCATAACTAACCATAATTCTTGAATTAAAGAATTTCATCAAATTTTCCATATGTTCTAAATTCATTTCTATCACCTCTAACTTTTTAATTATACCATTGACAAGTCAAATTCATCAATAAAACTTCAAAAACCTCATTATATCAAGAATTCATTTCTCAACCCTTAATCAAATTTCCTTTCTAATTCTCTTTTCTTAATGTTTTAAACTTATATAAGCTTTCCTTAAGCTTATATAACACTCAAAGAATAAAACCCAACTCAAATATTCAAGAATTAACCATCAAAATTAAAACTCACCTTTGAGGCTTGAACATGAACACATGGGAAGAAGAAAGAAAGAAGAAAAAGAAGAGTTCCAGATAACTCTCCAAACCAACGTGTTATCTCCCTAAATAAGGGAGATTAAAATATCATTTAAGCTAAATTACCATCTTACCCTTTCAATCCTTACATAATTACCATTTAATCCAATACCAAAATATTTCACTTAAGTCCCTAAACTTTTAACTTATTTCGAAATTGAGCACAAAATTTCCAAACTTTATATTTTAATCACTAACTCTGATTCTGGGATGTTACAGTCTTGTAGCCATCGACATTTTGTTCGAACTTAAAAAATGAATACTGGTTTCGTATGCTGTATATCTGCAAGTTGTGGCATCGAGCAATCAGTGGCCTAGATTAGCATGATGCTTATTCACCTTCATTTTGTAGGTTATTGATTTTGAGGTCCCCATTACGGTTCAGCTCACTGTCGTCGATGTTGATCCTGGCCTCAAGGGTGACACTGCTTTAGGTAATGTTATAAATTCTCTCCGAAGTCCAATCTATGTTATTTGACTGAGCAAGGCTTCAGGTAATGGAAGGGTTGAGTAAAACCCTAATGCCGTCTTGAATAAGAAGTTATGTCGATATTTGCACGTGAAGAACTCTAATGTCCAATGAAATTGACTAAATCGTTTTATTTATGATTTCTTGAATATCACTCAACCCCATTTCATTTTACCAGTTTACTTGAAAGAGATAAAAAGAAAAAGACTGCTGTATTTTTCAGTCATTTGTTTTGATTTCGTTGCAGAACATCTCTTTCGGTTTTCTTTCGACGATACAGGTGGATCCACCAAACCTGCAACTCTAGACACCGGCGCCATCATTAATGTTCCGCTATTTGTTAATACCGGTGATCAAATAATGGTGGATACAAGAACCGGGCAATATATGAGCCGTGCATAACCTTTTGGCTTGGAGAATTCTTATAATCGACAATTGTTTTTAGGTTCAATTCATTTGTTCATATAAATAAACATTCAAGAACCCCTTTTGATACTACTCAAAATGTAATCCTAGTCATGATGACATGATTCAACAGCCAGAATCACAAATTTGACTGTCTTTACAGGGTCTTATCCAGTGTTCTTACAACACGAATTTGACATATCGAAACACAAAGCTTGCAATGCCATACTTTGTTGTGAGAATATGGAAGGATGACCAAATGTATTTGATTGCCAAAAGGGGAAAAAAGGAAGAACAATGGCTAACAAAAGGAATGAAAGATGATATTTTTATTTCATCAGAAGCGAAGAGATCGACTAAAAGTATTGCAAGTGATGGGATTTTTAGTGTCAGACACATGATTCTTTCCAGCATTGCCTCTGCTTCCAAAAATAGGTTTCAGCAGCTTCTTCAGGAACCAGTTGAAACCAGACAGGCCACGCCCTTTGCTCGCCTGTGGCACCGCTTGCGGCCGACCTAACAACTGAGACCGATTAACGACGCTCGACTCCGACAGGCTCCGACCCAATATAGCTTCTTCCAGCTGCACCTCGAAGGACGACCTCTCGAACCGGTCCAGCAGCGAGCTCTGGTCGTCTCCAAACTCTGTCACAACAACTGATGATTCATCCATAGTTTTGTTTTCACTTGATAAACCCATTTTCATTTACTTATCAAAACCATCAATCATCTAACACATCTTGAGCTGATCTCAGGCTTGTCAATGGAGTGAAGAAGAAGAAACTATGGGTCGGTCGAAATTTCAAAGCTTTTTGGCTATAATTTAGGGAAAGACATGAATCTAATTCCAACATTTCTTTTCCATTTTCAATGCTTTTTTTTTCCACATTCCTTAAATAGCAGGGCATTAAATTTTGTAATGGAATTTGAATTGATTTATGTTCATCCCGAAAAACAAAAAGGAATTTGAATCGGGTATGGCGTAATTGCTTTGTTCTGTTTGAGTCCCCATGAGAACTGAAGTCACGCTTAAATTGTTCTCAATATAAATGAGCGGAGTTATTGGTTTCAGTTTCCCCACCTACCATACTAATTTCCTTTTCATTGAAACTTCAAAATCTATATCATTAAATCTTAATCCCAATAAATCAATAATTCGAATTCATCCAACTCAAACTCTAAAATTATTAAAAATTACTAAAATTTAAAATTATATGATAATGTTTTTTTATTAATCTAGAGTGATTATAAATGATAATATATGTTTAAAAGTCTCTCAATCATTTGATAATAAACGTTCAAATATCCTACAGTCGTTAGTGCTTGAACTCGGGACCTCTAAGGATAATAATCATCCCTTTAATTCTGGAGGTCATTTGATTTGTGCTATTTGATAAAAAAAAGAATCTTTGATAATGTGTTGAAAAGATTGACTCATTTAGGATGTTAGAAAAATCATTACTTGAAATAGAGTGTTTGTTACTGTGTTAATAGGAGCACGTTTGGAGTATCTAGCGTCTTTGAAAAAACTTTTGGATCAGTTGACATCTTTTGGATTGCTACTCTATTAGGTTTGACATTCCGACCGAATGCAATCTGAAATAATTTCTACAACATTCTAAATGAGTTTATCTTTTCTCACCATATTATTTAAGAAATTTAATAAACTATTCAAATTCATTTAAATTTAAAATTCAAATAATTTAAATCTAAAATGATTTTAATATAAAATAATTAAATCTAAATAAATTAAGTCAATAAATTCAAATTAATACAAATAAAAAATAATCTGAATTTTAAATAATACTTAAATTTTGAGAAGTTTATTTTAGTTCTTTTATAATTTCTTTTTTATGTTTCTAATTTTAGTGTTCTTTTTTCAAATAATCCTCTAATAGATCATAAGTTGGCATGTGTCTAACCTCTCAACTTGATACATGGCAAGTTGTATTTTAGTTTTTTCCCTACCTCTTTTATAATAAGTAAACTATATGTTTAGTATTTAAACTATTTTTTCGTTTTAGTACTTAAATTATTATATTTTAAAATTATACCTAACTTTACTTTTTGTTTCATTTTAGTACACATTTTTAAAAATTTAACGGAACTAGTATCTTTTATGGGTACAACAACAACAACAACAACAACAACAAAACCCTATTCACATATGTAATAGAGTAAGGGAGAGGTAGGGTAGTAGGCTTCCCCCAACGCTAGGGTTGAGAGCAACTTCCGTGGAAGACCTCCAGCAGTCAGAAAATTAAAGATAAAGATAAAATGCAATGTATGTATAAATAAATAAATAATTACATAGTTGAACAATCTTCATATGTAGTCTTCATATACATGTCTGTAATGGGAAGTAATCCCTGTAAATAAATCCCTGCACTAAAATCTCTGCATATAGACAGAAACGTAAGACCCGACTAAATTTAAAAAGAGGAAACCTGAAGAGAATGATACACAATAGTTAAAGATAGAAAGCATACGAGAAGGAATGAAGTCTAATGGGTTAAAAACCTAAACTAAGGCAACACTACTCCGTTACCCTAGTTCTAAGCCTTCATAAATTCTAATGACAGAAACGTATATAAAGTATAAGTCATGGAAATTATTACAAAGGCATTAAAAAGAAGTCAGAGATGTTACACCCTATGTCTGTGACCCGCACTACTCGGCTACTCTGGTCTTAAGTCTCCATACTTTCCTATCAGAGGTCATGTCCTCGGTAATAGCTAAATCCATCAAATCAGCTCTCAAGCAGTCTTCCCACTTCCGCCTTGGTCTTCCTCTCCTTCTGGCACCGTCGATTGTAATCGACTCTACCCTCCTGACCGCATCTGACGGTTGTCGCCTAAGGACATGCCCAAACCACCGTAGTCTTCCCTCCCTTAATTTTTTGGATACAAACACCACCCCTAAGGACATCCTAATAGCAGAGTTTGGTGTCATGTCCCACAGAGTTTTACCACATGTCCATCGTAGCATTCTCATTTTTGCGGCCTCCATCCTCCTTACGTGATCCTTCTTGATTGCCCAACATTCTGATCCATACAACAGCGCTGGTCTTATTGACATTCTTTAAAATTTTCCCTTAAGTTTTAGAGGCACCCTCTTGTCACACAAAACTTCAGTCGCAACCCTCCACTTTAGTCATCTCGCCTTTATACGATGTGTAACGTCATCATCTACACCCCCATCTTTATGTATCATAGACCCTAGGTACTTAAAACATTCATTTGAGGGGATAATATATCATTCTATGCATACTTCTACATCTTCATCGTTTTTTCCATTGAAGTTTGAACATAAATACTCTGTCTTTTCAATATTGATCCTTAGACCTTTTACTTCCAAAGCAGTCTTCCAAGCAGTCAGTCTTCTATTCAGCTCAGTTTTTGTTTCGGTAACTAGGACAATGTCGTCAGCGAAAAGCATACACCATGGAACACCGTCTGGTGTCGCACAATAGATGTCGTCCATAATCAAGGCGAAGATGTAAGGGCTGAGAGCTGACCCTTGGTGGAGTCTGATTTCCACCAGGAATGCCTCGGTGTCGCCAACTGTAGTCTTGACGTAAGTAGTAGCTCTACAGTACATATCACGAATCGCCCGGATATAAGCCGTTGGGATCCGTCTCATTTTCAAGGTCTTCCTGATCGTATCGCAGGGAACACTATTATACGCCTTCTCAAGGTCAATGAACGCCATGTGAAGATCTATATTTTTTCCCTATATTTCTCCATAAGCCGTCGAAGTAGATGAATCGCCTCCGTAGTAGATCTGTCTGGCATAAAGCCAAATTAGTTTTCTGAAACCCTAGTAACTTGTCTCAACCTAGCCTCTATCACCATTTCCCATAGCTTCATGGTATGGCTGAGTAGTTTAATACCTCTGTAGTTTCCACAATGTTGGGGATCTCCTTTATTCTTATAGATTGGTATCACCGTACACTCTCTCCACTCCTCTGGCATCTTGGCAGTCTCTAAACTAATATATAAGATGTTGGTCAACCAATTTATTCCCTCTTCTCCTAGGGCCAACCACACAGTGATAGGAATTTGATCTGGACCTACAGCTTTGTCCCTCCCTATCTTTCTAAGAGCCATTTTGACTTCCTCAAACCTAATTCTACTTGTAGGCCAATCATTGGCCACAGGATGATGGTCGGCTGCCCCCATCAACGGTATTATCTCTACAGGGAGATGCACCGTCATTAAATAAGCTAAAGAAGTAACTACCCTAAACCCTCTTAATATCATGATCTTTCACTAAAAGAACATCATTGTTGTCCTTAATAAACCTAATGCGACCTAGATCTTTTTTCCTATTTTCCCTGGATTTTGCAAGCCTGAAGATGTCGTTTTGTCATTCATTGGTGTCTAATCTCTTGTACATTTCCTCGTATGCCTTATCATTTGCTTTAGCCACTGTTTTCTTGGCTTCCCGCTTTACCTCCTTGTATCTTTGTTTAGCTCTCGATCTTTCTTCGTTGTCATTGCATTGTAGAAACTCCTTGAAACAAGTTTTCTTTGTCTTCACCTTAGTTTGGACTTCGTCGTTCCACCACCACGATTCTTTATGTTCCTTGACCTTCACTGTCGACAACCCAAGGGTGTTTTTGCCCACCTCTCTGATGGAATTTGCCATATTTTTCCATAACATATCTTCATTATTTGAGTTTGTAGTTTCAAAACTTGTATTAGACAACACCTTACTCCTAAAGTCATCAGCTGTCGCTCCATGTATGTTCTTCCAAAGGATCCTAGGTTTACCAAGTTTAGCCCTCCTATGAGTGCTCCGCTCATGGTGTACGCGGAACACCAAAACTAACAATCTGTGTTGTGATGCACATGCCTCTTCAGAGAATACCTTACAGTCAATGCAAGCCCATCGATCCCGATTTCAAACCAGGATGTAGTCGATTTGGGTACAATGTCCCCCGCTATGGAATGTAATCAAGTTCACATCTCTCTTGTTAAAGAAAGAGTTAGTGACCACCATATCGTGTGCAGTAGCAAATTCAAGCAACGTACGTCCCTCCTCGTTCCTAGTACCAAAACTGAAACCCCCAT